ATCAGTCCTGGGGCGGGAGTTCTCTCAATCCCATTTCTGACTATATATATATATATATATATATATATATATAAATATATAAATATATAAATATAAATATAAATATATATATATATATATATATATATTTTTTTTAGCTGAGCCATCCTGCCACCTGTTGGCAGCTCAGCGGCTGCTTAGCTTGGGCTGGAAATCGAACCACTGTTGCTCAGAGCTCAAACTCTTGAGTGAGCTCTTGAGTGAGCTCTTGAGTTAGCTCTTAACCAGCTGAGCCACTCGGCCAGCCTTCTGACGATCTTATGTTTCCAGTTTTGCCAGCCCAGTCCAAGTCCCATCCCCTGGCTGGCAAAGTCTATATCTCAGAGACCAAACTCAAACCAGTCTACCGGCCCTTCTCCTGTCCACACTTGATTCTTGGACTTCTACTTATTCATGCCTAGAAAAACATTAGTTTGGCCTTGGGAAGGCAGAACCCCAGGAAGTAATAGAAAAAGCTCTGGCCTTGGGCAAACTTGGGTATAAATTCCTCCTTCCTGGCATTGTGACCTTGAGAAAATGGCTTAATTTCTTGGAGTTTTAGGAATTACCTGTGACAATGAATGTAATTGCCTGGATGACAACAATGAATAAGACAATTTTAAAGAAGAATGTGATGGGCTACTTGCCCTACCATATATCAAAATTTATTCCAAAGCTATAATAAGGCATTATAGTAGTGGTACAAGGATAAACAAATTGACCGATGGGACAGAATAGAGAGCACTGAAACAAACCCAGCAAAAATGGAAATTTGATGTATGGAGAACTGGACATTTCTCACCAGGGGGAAACAATGAGCTATTCCACAAATGGAGCTGATTAGTTAGCCATATGGGATGGGGAGGGAGCAGATAGGATTAGATCCCCATCTCACACTATACAAAATCAATTCCAGGTTTAAAGACATACATAAAAACAAAACTTATAAACCTTTTAAAAAAGATTTTATTGGGGACTAGGGGAAGGGAACAGCGCTGGGAAATAGGGGAAGGGGAACAGACAAGTTGCTGTCCTTTTGTTCTTCAGTCTAAATGTAGGGTAAAATGTTAACACTAGGTGAATCTGGGTAAAGTGTATATGAGTGTTCTTTGTACTATTTTTATTTTTGCAAACTTTTGTAAGTTTGAAATTATTTCCAAATAAAAAGTTAATAAAAAAACCTTTTTGATAAAAAAGAGACTATATCAATTCAGGGTAAAAAAGGATTTCTTAAACAAGACACATAAATTATAAACCATAAAGAAAAGATTGATAAATTTGGAAATATAAAATTAAATTTTCTAGTCAAAAAGCATATTACAAAGAGAAAACATAGGTCAAAGACAAGAATATATTTGCAAAACATTAAAAAGTGGTTAGCATCCAAAATATGAAAAAGATAATGCAGTAGAAAAATGGGCAAACTCATAAGAAAAGCCTAAGGAAAAATGCCCAACTTCACTAATAATCAAGGAAATGCAAAATAAAACAATGAAATACTATTAACATTAGTCCGGTGGCAAAATTAAGTGACAATACCAAGTGTTGGT